TGAAGTCTGTGGCATTTAAATCAGTAGAAGGAGATCTGTAGGAATAAATACTCTTCTGACAACAGCTTGGGTTGTTCTGCAGACTGCAAACTAGCTGCTGCCAGCATGTTGTATTAATCCTATCATTAATGCAGGGCCTATTTTAAACAGGATATCCTGGGAATTAAGGGATAGCAAAGAATCTATTAGCTATATATTTTTGTCAGAAAGGAATTTTAACAAAAAAAATCGTTGTGATAAAAAAATAAATATTATGGGTACTTGTGAACGCAGAACTTACCTTACAGGATGAGACTCCTTGCTTTACCAGGTTCAACACTGCAGGAGACACTTTCTCATTCCTGCAACTGTACACCATTTAGGGAATGCAGGCATTGCTCAGTCTAAGGACGGGATGGAGGTCCCACAACAAAAAAAACATGTCCACAACTGAGTGCAAATTGCAGAATAATTATGCCACCCTCATAGAGCTGAAAAGCTTTGGCTTGCCTGAAGGAACTTTGTTTCCTGTAACCTGTCAAGCTGCTCAGTACTCACCACCCTGTTTCTGCTTACTCTCCTGCTCAACCCACTAGCCCTTATTGGCAAAACATCAGAAAGCTTACTTTGATATTTTTCAACCACAGAAGTTCCGGACTGCAGAAAGAGCTGCAATACAGGTCCAGACATGGCTTTAAATTCCACACTTCAGAACACTGTGAAGTGCTCACCCTGATGGTCATATATTTTCCTGCAGATCTGGGCTGTCAGAGTGGTTGCCCAAAGACAGAGACTGACAGAGTCATCGCAGTGCTATTGACTAAATGTATGCTGTCCATATGTCGGACACATGAGCTGGCAGGGGGCCCAGGAAAAGCTGTGGTGTCTGCAGCTTCCTTTCTCTCCCATCTGGCATGGACACAGGGAGGAAGTATCAGTGGGTGCCAAATTAAAGAAGAGGATAAAGGGACAAGCAACCATACAAGGGTGAAGCTGTTTCGGAAGCACTGGTGGTAATTCAAGAAATCTTAAGTGATCACTTCAAGCCTCACTTCCCAGACCTTTATTCTTCTAAGCAAAGTTTATTCTTTCGCATGACAGACCCTGTTAACCATACACACACAAAGTTATTGTATAATTAACCTGAACCTTTGACTTTATATACTCAGCAAGTCCCTTACAAACACTCTTCTATTGAGGCTGAAGATAGGGAACACTCAGTAATGGAGCAGAACAACAGCAACGTAGAAGATTTCTCCCTTAATGTATTTTCTGTCACTCCTTATCAGCCTAACAACAGATCTGATGTCATGGTGTCAGATGGTGACAAAGCTGGTGCCACTTTGCTCTTTTCAGGTGTGTTTTTGGGGCTGGTGGGAATCACATTCACTGTGATGGGATGGATAAAGTACGATGGCATTACTCACCTGGAATGGACTCAGCTACTGGGGCCTATTCTGCTGTCTGTTGGGGTCACTTTTATTCTAATTGCTGTTTGCAAATTCCACATGCTTACATGCAAATCCTGTAAAGAGAGAGACGAAAATACATCGGACGTCGACCAGACATCAAGTGGACAGTCCTTTGTTTTCACTGGAATTAACCAGCCTATAACTTTCCACGGTGCTACAGTGGTACAATATATTCCTCCACCATACCCAGCCCAGGAAGGCATTGCAGTGAATCCAACCTACCTGCACCCCGTGCTCAGCTGCTGCAGCGCTGGTTCCTCTGGTGCCTCACCAATTCCTACACCGGACTCTCCTCAGTTCTGCTCTGCCTACCCTCTCGATAACCCAGCTTTTACACAGGATGAGAACTACTCTGCTTATCTCACAGAAGACACACGGACGCAGAGGTACGTCTTCAAAAATACCTTAGAATACGTGGACACAGAATTCTGAATATTTTTAAATACTAAACATGATTTCAAAGGAAACAAATGCTCCTGCAGGGGGTATAATCCTTCTTCAGACTCTTTTTTTTTTTTTTTGCTTTCTTAGTAGCATTTCTAGAGTAAAATCTATGAGAAATACTTTTTCTGCAAGCATTTTCATCCAAATTAAATTCATTTCTGAATCTCTTTCAAGTGTACTAAGTATCTTGTTACTTTCAAATATATTACTATATAAGCTCCTGTATGTAGATTTTTATGCTTATATTTTTTATATATACAAAATATATTTCTTATGTTATTTGATGATTCTTGACCAGAAGGTTACATGTGTGGATAGAGGAGTCCACCTAAACGGAATCACAGTACAAAACCCAGTGCACAAACAGTGTTTTTGTGACAGCAAAAGATCAGTTCAGCACTAGATGTTACCCTTATTAATTGTGTACTCTCCTCTGCCACTGCAGCAGCCTCCCAACCATTATTTTAACCCTATTTTGGAGATGTATAACAGCTCACTGATATTACAGAACAATACCTACGAAACTGCTTTAATCAGATATAAATATATATATATTTATAGTAATGTTTAGTAATATACTTTCTAGAAAATAATTCATTTAGTTCCTTTGTGAAAGTGTATTTGAAAATCCACTGTGCTCATCACCATGGGTGACATACATAGGCAGAGTACAAATGCAGGTCACATCTTGACATTATTATACCTTGCCCAAATAATAAAACAAATGGTTACATTGAAGTAAAACTTCATCTTGCAGGATTTTATCAAGCAAAACTCTAACTGAAGTCAGGAAGTGCTTTGCCTGGATAAGGCTGACAGGGCACAGTAATGAGGCAACTACTATATTTGGTGTTTGTTATATTCCCTTTCTGCTCCAGCTCCTCTTTTTGTTTTCAGGTCAGAAGACAGTTTTGATGAGCCAGAAGAATTTATAGAAGACTATGCCTGCAATGATCTGTCACCCCCCCGTTATGAGGAAATATACCCACTGCCTTCAAGAAGAGTATGAAATAACCATGGACAACGGACTGCACTTCTGAGAGATACCAGCTTCTTGATTCCCAAGTTTTTTTTTTCTAAACACTTACAGGCTAAGTGACATCATGGTCCTGATACTGAGTTTAGTGTCACTGAAGAGATTTAAACAACCTCTTCTTACATTTACCCAATCCCTTTTTCTCCCTCAGAATTTGCTAGTCCTTTGCTATGCAGCTTAACAGCAAAGCTATTACACTCAGGGACCTAAATCCATATTAGGGTTCCTAAACAATGAGTCCTTTCAAGAGGTCCTGAATTTCAGACCTATTGAAATCAGTATGAGATGTGAATGCACAAGGGGTTCGTAGAAGGTCATAATTGCTCCTCATCGTTAGAAACCACTTGATTTACTCCTGAGCTATTTTGCCTCTTAATTGCTTGGGAAGCTTCTGAAGTGCCCAAAGGTTTGATCTGCCTAAGTAAGTGCCTGTAACATCTTAATCCTGCCTAATTTTTCAGCCTAGTTCACTGGTGGGTAAGCCCAGTCTGCAGATAGGACTTCCTCTGCTTGGTTCACCAGCAGCACCCGGTTGGGTAAGCACCTCCAGAGCACTTTGCTCAAACAGAGCATTCTACAACAGAAATTAAGTAGAAACAGTGCTCTCTGTTCATTTTTACACAGACATTTACAAGATTCTACATACATCCAAAATGCAGGCACTACAAATTCAGTTCTATTCACTGCCTGACAGGATATAAACCCATCTCCCACTAAGAATCCTAAAGATTAATAACTTCATGTCCAAAATGGAAATGGTGCTTCCCTGAAGCCATGACAGAGATCTGCCCTGTGGTTTTTGAGGGCTTTAACAGTCACAACTCTTATCTGACACATCCCTACATGGAGCAGCAGCTGTGGCACAAGCCCTCCTGAGGCACACGGGGCCTAGGAACAGCACTCAGATCTGGAGCTTCCCCCAAGAGCAGCCAGTGAAATTTCGTGGTCAAAGTCTCCTTTCAAGACTAGGACCGTTCCAGGCATTGTATTCACAAATAGATTTACAGCTGGACCCAACAAAAGATGGATATGCATAAACTCTAATCCAGAGTAGTGGGCCTGAAAAGCCTTGCTTGGGGAGTCTAAATGATGGGGCAGTAAAAAAGCCATGAGTCTTTTATTTTGTATTTCCATACATGCCTAAAGTTCAGCCTTGGAGTGTGCCTAGAAGCACCCTGACACAGCTGCACAGGTCTGTACTTGCTGTGTGCAGGAGCCCGACAGGTATTTCCTGCCTCTCTCCTTGGAGGGCTCAAGCCAAGCGCTGCTGGAGGGCAATGGTCACAGTCCAGAGCAAGGGATTTGTGTGGCTGGTCACTGTCCTGGCTCGAGCTGCACAGCTGAAGGCAACAATCAATTCCTGGACGCACGAACTTGCCAACACAACCGCTCCGGTTCCAGCCAGTTGTTGTTAATGTGTGAGGACTTGCTCACTCAGAAGCAAACTTCATGCAGAGAGGCCCCCGGAGACAACGCACCACAGCACCCGGCCGGAGAGTGCTCAGGAGCCCGTGCGGAGGGCGGGTAGGTGGGCACGGGAGCTGCCGGGCTGCACACTGAGCACTCACCAACCTCACCAGGCACCAACGCCGGGTGCAGAGAGGCACTCAGATCTTGCACCGTTTCTGTGACTTCCCTTTCCTGCTTATCTACAGGGTGCCAAGAAATAAAGCCTTTCTGGAGTGGCACAAGAGACAGCAAGCTGCTAGAGCTGGAAAATTACCCCAGCAGAAGTGACATTTGGGACAGGGCATTCAAACTGACTCAAAACTGGTTTAGCAACTATCAGACAGGGAGTATTAAGCAAACACAAGGTTTTGTTGCCAGAGGAACATGGGGCATAAGGTATTCAGCACCAACAGACCTGGTGTTAGCAGGCAGTACGTGTAGCAGGAAGAAGGCAGGTGCTCCGTGTCCAGCATGATCTCCACAGCACTCAGTGAAAGATCAGCAGGCCTAAAATTAAATGGAAGGCTCCCTTCTGGAATATCTTGTTCCTCTTCCATATGTTACGCAGAGGTGAACTCATCTTCTGCGGCAGCAGTTGGTTGGAAGGTCCCAACTACCTGGTTAGCTCCACATGGCCAGATCTCTGCACTTCGTATGCAGGTTGCTGACTCCAGCAAGCGCTGCAGGAGCACAGAGGTCAGGCTTGATGAATCCTACCACAGATTCAAGCTTTCCGTCTAATTCCCCTCTTCGGCAACCAGAAAATGCCCTCAGTCACTAACCACAGACTTTTTTTTTCCTCCCACAAACACCTGGAAAAGCATATTTCATGTGGTAATCATGCCATTATTCTTACAATGTCAAGTCATGTTGTCACGGTAAATGTGAGCAATCCAGAAGGCTGCACTGCAGACTAAGTATGGGTTTCAAAGTTTACTTTTGAAGAGGCTAAGTTCATCGAAAGAACCTTGGGTTTCTTTTCAGAGAGAGAGCTAAATAAATAAATTTAAATAACTATATATTCGAGCGGTCTTTGGCAACTGATTGAGAAGGGTTTTGAAAATTGAGGTCTGATACAAATAAAATAAAATAGTAAAACAACAAAACCAGTAGCAGGGCAGGCTTCGCTCCGGGAAGCTCC